TATTTGTATATTTCAGGAACGGATTCCGTAAAATATTTATTGGTGATCCGCTAACGTTAGCGGATCACCTCTTGTTATTGTCAGGATTATCATCATCTTTTTTTTATTCTTCTTTCTTTCTCCCCTTTTCTGTTCGCACGATATCTCAAAAAATGCCATGAGTTACGCACAATCGCTGTCAGCGAACATTTGGCTTGGTCTGGAATAGCCATGGTAAGCTTTTCAACGCGCTCAGTCATGCGTGACCTCATCTACGCGCAATTTTGCGTTTTTACATTATCGATCATATCAGCCTAACCAATTGCCATTTCGAAATCGTATTAAGTGAGCATTAACTTCGGGTTAATGTTAAATGTACCGTACCCTAAATTTACGCGTGCACTTTATAACGCGCGCGCACGCGTGCGTCAAAATGCTCGAAATCACTTTTTAACTAAATTAGAGCACGTTCTAGGCCATTTTGAGCATTTCAATTTTTTGTAAAATTTTCCACTACGTGCGCGCGTTTTTACGCGCGCAGCACGTACAGAAGCTAGACACTATGTTTTTTCACATAGTTTGGGTTCCTGACATTGTTTTCACAAACTTGAATTCTTTTCGGTCATCTTTTGGCCAATAGCAATGCCGTACGTGCGCATCAAATATAGGTATTTTTGCACGGATTTGTGCCGATATACAGTGAAAATATGCTAAAATCAGACCTATTTTTAATCAGTTATAGCTCTTTAGGTTGAAAGGTGACCCCCAATTTTTATTACATATTCTGAAAGCACATAAGTTGTAAATATGATTTTATAGATCATAATGGCTGATCGGACATTGTGACGTCATCATATTGGCACCTGAATTCAAAGATAGTGAATTATAGCTATGACGTCATTTTTGAAAATACGCATTTGAGCGTATCTCGCTTATCCTTGATCGATTGTCTTCCAACTTTGAGTATGTTATAGCTGAGACAATTCTTTCATATATTTGACTTCTTTTACATTTTGATGACGTCATCATGGTCAAAAAAATTGTTTTTTCTGACCCCCATATCTTTCTTTCCTCAAAACGTTGATGAGCCCATATCATCTTAACCATTCGTCATTTCTGGATCATATTAAGTGAGCATAATCTTCAGGTCAAGGTTGAATGTCAGGTACGTTAATTTTCCGTTCGCGCGACTTAACGTGCGTGTACGTGTGGGTCAACATTTATATATGCATAAAACCATGAATATTTTTAATCAGTTATAGCTCCATAGGATGAAAGGTGACCCCCAATTTTTATTACATATTCTGAAGCACATGAGTTGTAGATACGATTTTATAGATCATATTTGCTGATCGGACATTGTGACGTCATCATATTACCATTTGAATTAAGAAAAAATTGAATTTTTATTTATGACGTTATTACTTTTTATACTCGTTTGAACGTACTCGCTTATCTTGATTGATTGTCTCCCACCTGTGAGTATGTTATAGCTAAATCAATTCTC